GCTGCTCTACAATGAATACACACATATTATCGAACACATAAAGTAATGAACAAGGACAAACAAAATACAAATTCAGATAACCATTGGAAATGTGCAGTACTTTCAGGTTTCTAGATCCGGTAGACTAATGCTCTTGTGCCTTTTTAATGTGGGGGGCAGATACTGATTGATATGGCATGACAGTCCAGAAAACAGGGACTGTTACCATGCCAGCCCATCTGTGTGTCAGTCCCGGGGCAAAAATCAGATCCACATTGCTGATAGACCCCCTGCAGGTGCACCCAGCCGTGTTCAGTACACTGAGTACCAAGAGAGGGGCTGGGGAACAGACCATCCAACAGAAAGTGTCCCTGTGCCAACAACAAATGCCTGTATGCAACCTTCCCTCCCTCCCTCTCCTCAGGAGACACCTGTCACACCCAAACATTTAAGTACCAGCACAGACACATGACAGCTATTTGAAATACTGCATCTATGGATCCAATTTGGGCAGAATAAATGCAATCAGTACAGTTAATGAAAAAGGTACAGGCTTTGGCCTTTAATCCACAAATCTGGTCATGGACACTTAAATCTGACAATGCTGTTATGGTTTAAAGAAGGCAAGGGCAAAAGCAGACTGATTGAAAAGACACTGAATCAATATCAATATGAGCTTTTGCTGGCACAGCTATGTTTGACACAGAATATCCGTTTTTGGGGAGTGCAAATGTAAAAAAAAAAAAAGGAAGAAAAAAGTGAAAGTTAATAAAAATCTGACAGACATTCTAATCCTGAAGAAAACTGGTGTGCGGTTGATGCATGTTGATTATGATTCAAAGTCACTTAACACTTTCACAGAAAGTATATAACTTTCTGTACAACAAAGCAGCATGCGTTCACTTTTGGTGCAAAATCCATTGTTTTTGTGAGGAAAAACAATAGTCTCCCTATGCATGACAAGCAACTGCTTTGTGTTTTATCCCTTTAGGATGCTCGTATCACCTAATCCATTGTTTCTCAAAACCCTTATTGAATTTTTAAAAGTACCTATTTGAACTACTAATACATTACATTATTCACGTGTGTATGAACACGGGGATATTAGAAGCCTCATATGTGGGCAGGTAAACATGTTTTTGGCTCTGGCGCACTGAGAATGACAGAATACAGATCAGTGTTCTGAGCAGATGTTCTTTGCCACAGTAAACTCCTTATACCAGAGCTTTCACTGCCTACGGCACTCGTTGTTTAAGTCACCTCCATATCTTTGAATGGCAGTTCATCTGTTACGTCAAACCACATTCACAGCCAAGGGATGATAGAAAAAGAACAAAAATCACATGAACTATCTTGTTGCCCGAGACATGAAGGAGGCCTCCAGGTCTTTCAGGGGAGCAGATAGATTGTGTTCTGTGTCTATTTTTGCTACATGCTGCCGGGGATAAGTCCCCTGACCCTTGAAAGAAACACAAATGTGCTTTTCATTGGCTAAAATAGGCACAAACAGAGTTGTTATGAAGATGCTGCGCAATCACAGCATCTGACTGTGGTGCTGACAAAGTGGGGACAAAGATTATTTCTCTGTGTAGGATACGCTGTACCACACTGGGGTAAGAAAACTGTTATACTGTCTTTCTAGCAGGGATTTACCAGACTCAGAACTTTGACAGTCATATCGGATTTGGCTGTTCAATACAAAAAGATGTGACTTTTTATTCCTTTATTTCCTCTGGCAGTCATAAAATCCACTGGCATGAGTTTTTGTGGTGGTTTCAACCACATAAACAAAGTCAAATGCAACAGAGTCATGGGAACATATTTTTGACCATTTAAAAATCTGTAAAAGACAGCTGCACATGATGCAAGACTTAAACTGCTGCCTGTTTGAATTCTAGACATACAATGTTGGGCTACCATATAGATTTGTCTCATTTTGTATGAGACATAAATCCAGTTCATACATTCTATATTTATTTCACTGTAATGTGTAAATGAATAAACAAATGAACTATTTTAAAATAAAATAATATTGCATGCTACGAATCAATTGTATTAACTTTATAATTTCCAGCGGTTTGCCATGTTCTGTGTTGTTGAATAAGTGTACAGTTTGAATGTAACTGTTGTCCTTCAAAGGTTTAAAATGTCGTCATACTTCATATTTCTCCTGAGTCGTGGGTTATATTTACCAACTAATTCATATCAGGTTTCAGCTTCTCTTATTAGCTAACCACTAGCGCTATGTTATCATGTGGATGTTTTGTTTATCCAAGCACAGCAGCTAGCCCTAAAAGAATATAAATATACATTCATGACTCCTTTTGATTACAATTTCTCGTTTAAACATTATCCTCAAGCATTTTTTTGTAAGACTGACTGATCAAGTTGAAGAATCTCCAATAGATGATTCGACTTTTGTGTCAATGATAAGGTCAATAAATACTGGAAAAATAAAAAGAACTGTATTGTCTTGTTTTCAATTGGACCATTTTTCATACTTTTGATTTTATGGTAAAAACAAATACAATTTTAGGGCCAAAAACATTTGCACACAGTAAAATTAGAGACTCCCAGCAGTCATCTGACTGCGCCTGACAGTTCAAACTAAAAGACACTGAAGATGGGACGTCTGAATGCAATGGGAACAAAATCTATTTGTTTGCTGCCTGATGGTAAACAAGGCGGTGACAAAGAAAGGAAGGGGCCCAATGAAAAATTAGTGTGAATAGCAGACAGCCATCCGGTCACTGTTCCCATTACCCCCACTGTCTGATTCAAAATGGGCCACTGGGTTTCCAAGCAGGCTTCCCAAAACGAGACTGAGTGAGGAAATGAGATCTTAGGGGCACTTTATGGCCAAATCAATGAGAGCACCAACTGAGCCAAGCAGCATCTCCAACGGGTGGAATGCAACAGATGCTTGAATGTGACTCAAGTGGTCCCAAAACAGTTTCCAGTAAGCTATGGGGGCAGAGACTTGTGCAACAGAGGAAAAAAAGAGGGCTGGGGGGCAGTAGGTGGGGGGTCCTGGCAGCTTCCTCTGAATAGCAAATAGCATGAAAGATTAGCATTCCAATAGACCTCTCCATACCAACAGACCCCTCCCACAGCGCTAATCACAGAAAAACACTGAAACATTGTTAGGAATGTTGAGAGCCTTGTCATGTGAACGTTGATGCATTTCTCAATGACAGTGCAAGACAGGGATGAAAATGACAATACCACCTACAGACAGAGGAAAATATCTTTACCATAGTCATCTGTGGTTTCAACATGCTTCTCATATAGAGGGAGACTGTTCAGGACTAACGTTCAGCAAGTTCATCCCATCTCCATCTTATAACCTTGTATCCCACATTAAGATGCCTTAACTTTTTATCCCCTGCCTCCGGGGTTAATTACCAAGCCCACAGACTCAGCAGAGCCAAACTGAAGCTCCCTCCTTATTCGTCTTTCTCACATGCTTGGTATGTACTACACAGCTCATATGCAGAATTTCTTTGTCTGTGTGACACTTCTCTGCTTGTGCTAGCTTTCAGACATGTTGGGCACATGGTTTCCCTGCCGAATCACTACAAGCACTGACAGCGTGCACAGAGCAAATGCATGAACATTCTGGATCCCTGCTTTTCCTTTGTGTGTAATGCGGGGGCAAAGGCGGCACTCTAAGCTTCTCCTAAGGTCACACAGGGCAAATTGTGAATGCTAAACATTTTGAGGGGTAGGTAGTGTAGGTGGGAGATCAATACATTTGTGCTTTAGGCCTCAGGGGAGCTCGGGAACCTTCAACCAGTCATTGATTCATCTTGATGGGTACCAAGGAGAATAAAGTTATCAAATTTCCATGTTTAAACTGAAACATGTCGTCAATATACATCTTTGGTTGGAAGCAAGTTGTCTACCATCACAAAGGGACAACTGTAACAGGTTTTCTTGCTTTTTAGGCTTTGAAAACAGTTTTAAAATATCAGTGGCCTGCTTAGGCATAGATGTATAGGCAGAGCTCACTGGTGTCAGCTCACATTTGGCCTTTCATCAGGCTCTCTGATGCTGTCATTTGTACTCATGTCACTGAGAAGCTTCAAGAAACATGAGATTCAGATCAACACTACAACAGTTCCGTATGTTTGGCCAGTTCCACAACATTTGATTAGATGAACAACATAAGGCTACCACAACCTGTCAACAAATATGTCAGCAGCTCGCACAACACGAGTGAATATCTACTCTGAGGCGCTGAGATGCCACTCACATTTGACAAAGCAAACTTATCACAAAAGATGCTATCCTTGGGGCGCCCTGGTGCCCTCAGGTTAAAACACGCCAACCTACCAACTATAATGCCTGCAAATAACTCAAAACAGAAATAACTATTCTGGCTGCTGACTTACTTTAAATGAAGTTTACATGATATGTCTGGCATAAAGAACACAACAGAAACAAAACAGACAATCTAGTTTGAACTGTAATGAATAATAGAGCTAGAGGACATACATAAAAATGATATTGGTAATTAATTATTTGATTAACCTACTTTCCAAGCAAACATTCCTGTTAATTTGCCATTTTTTCTTGTCCTAAAGTGACAATTAATTTAATTGAATCAAATGTTTGAGGATTATTTAGATAAAATAAGCCATTTTATGATTCTATCTAAGCTTTTAGGACACAGTTTTTTCTGATATTTTATGGACAAAACAATTCATCAATTAAACTATGGGTCTGTCAATGCATAATGGCAGTTAATGGTTAACTGCAGCCCTAAAGTGAATATTGCCCTCCACTACTAGGAAAAACCCCTTGCTTTTAAGAAAGGTACCTAAATGTTATCATTCTTTCCAAGGTGCACACTCAAAAAGTATCAGAAGAAAGTCGTTGCACTAGGCAGCTGTTCAGGAGTATGAAACATGTCTCATCCCTTGAGGCAACAAACAAATATGGTGAATAAATCCACCAGTTGCGAATCTGACATCTTCATATCGCAGCCATATTCTATGAAAAGTGTGTCGACAACTTACAGTTCATCTCGTTGCCGTTGTGACAGCACCATGGTGATGGGGCAGTGTGGGCGGGGCCGGGAGGGATCTGTTGGTAAAAGGTGAATCTTGTGCAGCTGCTGCGCTCTCCTCAGTCAGGAGATGAGCTGTGCTGATCCGAGCAACACGGGTGAGGACGAGTTGTGTACTCCAATGGCAGGTAGTTGGTTCTGTCCAGACAAAGACTCAGACTGAGAGAAGGGGAATGCAGGAATCTGCCCCCCAACTGGCTGACTCCGGGGACAAGAGAAGTGGAGAGCCTGCAGACCAGTCACCAGCCAAGTCTACACTGCATCTAGAGAGAGAGGAGAGAGAAAGGGAAAGTCAGCATTAGGTATGCATGACCGATAACATGAAGAGTGGGTGGGGATGAAAATGTTTATAGCCCAGAGGAGAACTGCATCAATGTTTGCACCAGTTTATACAAAGATGAAATGAATGAAGAGACTGTCAACGACAGAATAAATGACAATAGTATAAAATAACAGGGTGGTATTTTCTCTCAGAAAGAAAGTGAGATTTCTATAGTTACACTTTGACAGTACTGTACAGCAAATCAGAGAAAGCTTAAAGCAATAAGTAAGATACTTAATTGAAAAGAACACCTTCTTTCCACAAACTCCGCCTTCATTTTTTTTACGCTCTCTTTCTATCTATAATCACAATCTGTCACATCACCAGTCTAACCAGAGAGCACTGGTCTGTTCTTGCAGCAAATACCTCCCTCCGTGTACATACAAGAGCTGACCCACATTCTCTGAGCAACGTACTTCTCCTCCCAGGTTGCCAACAGAAAAGAAAAACAGGACACAGCCAAGCGGGCTCGAGTAACGGCTGTGCTCTTGTCAAATTCCCTTGACCCTATCCTTCCATTATGATATCGCCTTAAGCGCTAGCTTGCAGGGCTGATGGCACAATGAAATATCTCTGACCGTTTGTGTCAATAAAAATCTTATCAGTGTTAGCATTTTATTGTCAGCAACTAAGTAACTAGGTATAATAAATGACAATGCAATGTGATGCAGACAACAATTATGTGATCAAGTCCTCTTTTCCACTGCATTGTGGCCTTCAAGAAGACTTTACCAAAGCAGGTACCCATTAGAATAAGCCTCTTAGTCCACTGGGACCAGTCTGACTAAATCTTTGCCAGACCATTAAACAAAAGGTGCAAACTAAGCCAAATTACTTTTTCTATTGATCTGCACCAAACTGACAAAATACAGCGAGGCAGACATCCAGACACATGTACAGGAGACAATGTGTGTTAGGAATGAGATCTACTGCACAGGAAAGGGGCAGTGAAAGAAACAAAAATGTGTCTAGAGTATTCATGAGGACTGCTAGCACGGCAGGAAGCTGCAATGAAGGAAAATTCAACATTCCTCACTTCAGCTGATGATGCAGGAGTGACATTACCACAAGGGAAAATTCCTCTTATTCACTCCTGCTTTTGTTTGCAGGAAAAAGAGCACAGTAGCTTAAGACTGCAGAGGTAAGATTGATCTACCTGGTGCACAAAGTTCATCCTGCTAAATAAATAAATTGGAAGTAGTTTAGAATGTGTGCGTTTTCCTGTATATTTGCGAATTTGACACTTTGACATTGCTGAGAAACTGTTTAACAGGAAGTAGCCGTATGTAGCCAACAGCTAACCTCTGGACCCTGATGTCACCACCTGACAGCAGTCCAAATGTCTGCTTACCCCTGACTGTGCGTGGATTACGGCATGCTGGGGGTTTCTGGCCAATGACCAACAACTGTGCCATGATTCAGGGTCACAGCACTACAACAACATAATAAGGCAATGGTACTGGAGCTAAAAATGGCTCTCACTAAAACGCCACATACAAAACATCCATTAAAAGGCATGCGCCATCGACACCAACTTGTAAAACTGCTATCCTGTGTGAAAATGAGGTCATCTACTATGTATATATTGATAATTCTCTCTCTGCTGGTGACAGTTGCCATCGCTGTGTGTATCCATTTATGTGTTAGACTCCCCTCTCTGAAAATCTCATTTGCAGCTCCAATATTGAGCAAAATGTTTGCACAATCACATAATCAGGCTAATTGGCTCTGCACAAAATGTTGTGTCTTTATGGAGGGGGGATATGGGCTGCAGCCGCTGTGCATCTATAAATCTGCCCACTGATGGTTAATAATGGTTATGTGTCTTCCTCCGATTGATTCCCTTGTCTTTGTGTAGCAGGAGGAAATGTACAATAACAGGGCCTTTTACAGTAATGGCGCTGACTTTGAGAGATAGTGTTTAATTTGCTGATGAGCTCCAACTGATTATCTGTTTTTAAAATGCCATATTTAACAAATAATGGAAAATGTCCCCCGTCTGTTGTGATCTTAGGATGCAGCAACGTAATGCCAAGTCAAAACTACAATGAACCACACCTACTGAATCAATGTCTGTGGGTAAACTCTATTTCAATCAAGTCAAGCAAAACATACACCTAGATATTTAAAAAATTTGGACCGCCTAATACAGAATTTGAGTGAAAACAGTCCAACCATACAAATACAACAGGAAAGCCATATTAGAAAACACCTGAGAAGTGTCAACAAAACAGGGAGATTACAGAAGAATTTATTAAATACACACAGAAATCTGTGACAAACTACAAAAGTCTCAATTTCAACTGTTTATATATGTGTAACATTACCAGTTTAGAACTGTTGAAAGAATTGCAAATATCCAAACTAATTAGGCATCTGGGGAAAATGTAGCACATCCGACTGCAGTAGAATATTGCAACTTGCACAACACCACCAGCCAAAAATGACAGACGAGGTATGTGTAGAACATTTTTGGACTACCAATGCTTTCATGTCTGAACAAAGGAACACACCCCTGTGGAACGCAGTACAAGTGAAGGAAAATAAAAATATGTCTAAAGAAAAGTCTAGCTGCTAATCTGAAAGTGTGTCCCAGCAACTTATCACAAAACATACCATCACAGTAATGTTGACAGAGCTGACAGTTCTCACCCCGCTGTCACATCTGACTCATAGTTTTCTGTGAGCGTCATTATGTCATCGCCTCTTTCAAAAGCAAGCATCTCAAACAGCTGGAATCTGGAACACCTTCATTTTCTGTTGGTGACTTCACCTCAACACCTGTGTCATGGGAATGATATCGTTGGCAGTCTTTTACAATCAACAAACAGCACCATTAACTAGATGAAATAACAATGGAACGCAAAAAAGCAAAAGTGTGAAATGATGCATGGATATAGTCAAGTAAACGGAGATCCCTCATGAATTTTAGGTAAAGGTCCCTTACTAAACTTGCAAATGAAAACGAAGCCGTCATGTTATCTGAACACTTATTTGCTGACATATTTAGCTACTGAAGCAGATAGAGGTAAGATTTTTCTTAGTCAGTAATTTTTTTTTGTTTGTTTCAGTAAAGCCATTAAAACTTTTCACTAAATTTGATTAACAGAATTTTGTGGAAAAATATGTAATTGATAGATGGATATCTACGCAAATTTGATTCTTTATGATGAGATAACTGAAAGAATCTGATTTTCCATCTGTGATGCGACTCTAAAGAACATGCAACAGAAATGTCCTGTAAACTACAAGACCAAAAGGTTAAATATTCTGTAAATAGTCTGCAGTTTCTGTGAATGGTTATTCTTTGTGAAGCCCTCACACAGAAACCATCCAATGACCTTTGTCACCAACTGATGATGAAACTGGGTGAACATCTGGCTCAGCTGTCAATATGTAGCCCTGACTAGACCCACAAGGTGCTTGCGTCACTTGAGTGGGTTGGCAACAATTACCTAAACCTAATAAATTGCACAGCTTGTATCATGAGCTCTTTCCTCTGTGTTTCGTAAAGGAGATTGTAATAGCAGCAGTGTGACTCTACAGATGCAAGGATTCAATCAATATGACACAATATGTTTTCAAGCACTGTAGACACAACATTAAAAAAAAAATTAAAAAAAATACGTATTTCTCTCACAGGCTGTCATCCCAACAGTTGTGTTCTCAGTCCTCATTAGTAGATGAGAGCTTCCCCCACACACACTGAGGGACCAGACACCAAGCAGATAGGAAGCTGACAGGAACAACAGATCAATCACAACCAATAACAACCTGCACACACACAAACAGGTGGGAACAACATAATCAAAACTGCTTAGCCTCCTTCAGTCATATGCATGCGAGTACATCATTTGTACAACACAGGCAAAGTTCCACTGCATAGTTAGCAGGCATGAGATGTTTACTCAACTTTGGCATGTTCGAATCTCTCCAGGGTATTCTCATGCCAACAAGCTCTAGGCTGAAATTGTTACGGCTATAAATATAGACTGGAGGAGTTTACAGTGTCTCTCAGTTACTGTTGAAATAGCAAATTCGAAATGTGATTTTAAAAAAACTTAATTCTCCAGGCATCTTTGGCAACCATTATACAGAAACTGCGAGTCTTATGGCGAAACTGTCAGACATCATCGTTTACAAAGCATATTCATCAAAACAGCGTGTCAAAACAGTGATCTGTAGGTTGACTGGCAGTCGCTGTTGGCAGCAGGAGCGTAATGACCAATCAGCTGTGGTGGGCAAGCTGTCTGGAAGGTCAACCTCTGTGCTAATGTCAGCTTGGGGAAGGAGACCAATAAGGGTATCTGCCCTTCAGCCTGACACAATCACAAAGACAAACAGCCATTCACTCTCATCTGTCGGTTGACACAAAATAAAGAGGGCCCCTCTGCAAAACTGTACATGTTGCTACTTTCTGGCAATACTTTCCATAATTCTGTCATTTTATACTTTCACAAAACTACCCAGACAACATTAGAGAGCAGAGTCCCACAAGATCAGTGACTGTCCTTTGCTTTGGTCTGCTGCTGATGAAATACAAGCAGCAGCAAGCAAAGCAACACTAGCTAAAGCTTTCTATTGCAGTAATAAACAATTGGCACTGCTGTGCTTCCATTGCTGACAGTACTGAATAGAGCCTGGCTGTGGGGATGCACTTATTCAAATCAACTTCTGATAAAACTCGGGACTGACTAAAAATGCTTTCAAGTAAAACCAGCTGACCCTGGTTTCTGCAGTCGCTGTTAGAGAAAAGAAGCGTGTGTGTATTTTACAAAAAAAAAAAAAACAGAGCTGCTGTTTTCACATTATCTCGTGTACTTTGCAATGATGGTTGTACTTAGTAGGTCTATAAATTTTCCTTTTCTGATGCGAAAATTTGTGAAGCATTTTCATAGAGGAAAAAATAATAGCAAGATATCTGCAGAAAACCTAATTCATAAATGCTCATTAGTCTGCAGAAAGAAGCATGGATTGAGTAACAAATGTGAGAATGATGTGTGTCTAATTAACTTATACATCAGGACAAAAAATATATAGGTTCATTTAGTTTCCAAAAGAAAATTATTTTAATTGTTGATTAATCTGCATTTTTTTCTGAATTAACTGATTTGTTGCTTGGTCTAGTGTCCAGTGTTACCCTGAGCCACATGTCTTGTTTTGTCCACCACCAAGATACATTCAGTTTACTGCCATACAGGAGAAAAGAAACTAGGAACATGGAATCAGAAAGATATGACAATTTTCTTTAACAAATAACTCAAATCAACTACAAATTATTTTTAAAAAGAGTCAGTCCCCATTGACCAAGCACAGGTGGCAAAACATTCAACATCATCATCTGTGTTTTTGATTATTAAAACTGCATTAGTATCGTGTACATTTAATCGTCTGGGTAAAGGGATGGGTGTGTTTAGGTTAGCATAGTAATGCTAGATTTACAGTCTCAACAAATGCTGGGATTAGCTGTCGATTTCTCTTCAAACTGGCTTCATTTGAGTCATTGCATGTCATTCATGGACTAAATCAGAAAGACTCTTACCTGAGAGCAGAGAGCACAGTCAATGTTTCTTACTGAAGCTGTGAAAACGGTTGTGAAAAAAATCAACTATGTTATCAATATCCCATTATTCCCGTTGATCAGCTGCAAGGCAGTTCTCACAGGCGTGGCTGGGAAAAGTAAACTAGCCAACAGTCCTGGCCAATGCTTTACATCCGATATCAAGACAAGGTTGGCCAAAATTACACGAGAGACTCGTCTGTCGGACAGTGCACAACCTTGTGAGCTGCCAAAGCAATGATTTACATTCATCCCAGTGTTAGCGCTCTGCGTCCACGAATCCCTGACCTGAATGTCTCAATCGTGAATCCACACAATGAGAGAAAACGAGGCAGAGTCTTGAGTACTGGGTAGAAGCAATTCATACAAACACGTCGCCTCGGATGTGCTCCACCCTGATTTTCAAACGCGGTGCCAACAAACCGCATGAAACAGACCGAGGCGCACAGATGACGGGAGCTTCAGCTGTAGCCATCAGCGAGCACCCAGGATGACAGCGACCAGCAGCAGAAATGCATTCAAAGGGGGCATGCCAATGCAGAAAACTGCAACCTGGCAACCTGATGTTCAGCTACAATAACATCTGCACAATAAACACGCAACACAAACCAGATGCCACTTCACGCCCTTTTCAAATGGTAGCGGTGGATACAGCAGCGACGTGAAGCTGCAGCGATCAACAACAAAATATCCACACGGTGACAGCAGTCAAGTGCTTTAACAAGTCACCAATCACAGACATAACATTACATCTGCAATAACATCGTTTGACCTATATCTGAGCTTGTTGTAGAGGTTTTTCACAAGGTTGACAGGCACTAACGTCGCTACAAACTATGCTAATTACTGCTTATTACTAACTTCAGATAGACACCAAACGCAAGAGCAATTTAGGTGTGCATTTACATACATACCGTGGCACACTGAGATGTTTTCTGACTTAACCGATTTTAATTAACCTGACAGCAGTGCCTACTGGTAGCTTCATGTTATCTACACCCGGTTATCGTTAGCTAATGTTAGCTAAAGTTAGCCAAGTTAGCTTCCCGGCGATGCAGTCAGAAAGTTAGCTCGTACGTTAACTCCTCACTCTAACGGTAACGAGAATACGCATTCAAGCTCAGCTGGCGACAATAAACCTACATATTAGGTGACTACTTTATTTACTGTAAGTACACACTATTGTTTATCTGGACACAAGGATAAACTCCGCTGACAAGGTACCTGCTGCTCCTCTACAAGCGGCCTATCCGCCATTTTGAGACATAAAAGGAGGTGCAAAAATTACAGCCACATCGTCATTTTCCCCACCTAACGCCACATTCCTTCGACTCTCGCCGGCTTCATAATTGAAAACTACGAGAACTCACCCTATTGTTTCTGCCCGTGGATATCCTCGGCCGTCCCCAACGCTAACACGACCCGACAGGGCGTGAAATTTCCGCTCCAAAATATGATCTTGTGATGTTGGAGGTAAACTGCCCGTCTTGTCTCTTGCTTGTTTTTTCGTTCGCTACCGCATTCGCCTTCAGCCGGGCACGCGCACGATGCTCGCGTTCACGGGTCGGACGGGAGCGCGCACGCCCTTGACAGCAGTAAGAAAAAAAACATTATTTTATTTGACTATTAACTCTAACCTGGCTGCTGAGCATTGGCACATTTTAAATAGGCACAAATACGACCGGTATATATGCTCAGAGACGTATCATTATTAAATCACCTTAATACATGGAATAATATAAGACATAAAATGGACACAAAATATCTATGCAATTTAAATTTTATGATACTTTATACTTTCATTTCACCAAATTTTAACAGTAAATATTGTATTGTTTACATGCTATGGTTTTTTTAAAAATATATTTTTTATTTGCCTAATAACTTATTTGGCTGCAGAGCATAATTATATTTTGAACTGCAGAAAATACTTTAAATATGACAGATATAAATTTCGTGACTGATTGAGAGACCTACAATTATTTTTGTCTTCTTTACTTTTACATATGCATTAAGATAAGAAGTTTGCACTGGACATAAAATAATTATGTAATTACTATACTGACATGAGTATTTCTATTTTATTGTACATTTTAGAAGTATTTCACTGTTTACCATTTTGATTGAAAAAAAAATAAAACATGGTAGCTCCATATCTGTCCGTTTTAAATAGCTGCAATTCCTTTCAATGTAGCAGTTCTAAATGTTGTGTAATTGATTGAGACTCTTATAAAAGAAAGAGACAATTAAATCACTTTTTATATATGTGCAAAAAGAAATTTGAACCTGACACTAAAAAAATCATACACTTTGACTTGAGTATTTCTATCTCATGGTAGTTTATACTTTTATTTCTTTGCATTTCACTACATTTTAGTAGTAAATATTACATTGTTCACCCCATTATATGTCTTAAAACTATAGCTACTTTGCAAATAAAGTATTTACATTTAAACTATGCAGTCAGCATAAATATTAGAGTCAGTATCATGGTTATTTGATATTTTTGGCCAATGTTAGCTGTATGGGCGCATATATTGTTTGATATTCCCCGATATGGAAATTTTCTTTTACAAAACATAATGTGAACAAAGTTACTTGAGGTTCTTTAGAAACTGTGTCATCTCATAGTTTGTGCAGCAGAGAAGCTCTGACTACATGCAGCACATGTAGCAGAGTACGTATCACAGCTGAGCAGATGGCAGTTCGGAGTCAAACCTTGTTTTCATGTTAAGTGGTGAAGTACTTTGTGTGAAATACATTGTTGGAAAGTTAATACACAATGACATCATCGTTTTCCCTTTTCAATACAACTCTAACGTTTATATACAGTCGTATCATTGTTTGTTCGGATCAGCAATTTTAGTTAAATATATCATATAGCAGACAAACACAGTGATATTTGAGAAGTGAAATGAAGTTTATAGGATTTACAGAAAGTGTGCAAAAATTACTTTAAAAAGTAGGCAGGTGCATAAATGTGGGCACCCTTGTTGTTTTATTGATTTGAATACCTTTAGCACTAATTATTGGGACACAAAATTTGTTTGTAAGCTCATTGACCCTTGACCTACATACACAGGCGAAGTCAATCATGAGAAGGGGTATTTAAGGTGGCCAGTTGCAAGTTGTTCTCCTCTTTGCATCTCCTCTGAAGAGTGGCAACACGGGAGCCTCAAAACAACTGTCAAATGACCTGAAAACAAAGATTGTTCAACATCATGGTTTAGGGGAAGGATACAAAAAGCTAGCTCAGAGATTTCAGCTGTCAGTTTCCACTGTGAGGAACATAGTGAGGAAATAGAAGACCACAGGCACAGTTCTAGTGAAGGCCCAGAGTGGCAGGCCAAGAAAAATCTCAGATAAGCAGAGGCGAAGGATAGTGAGAACAATCAAACTCAACCCACAGACCAGCTCCAAAGACCTACGACATGCGGCAGAAGCCTTTTCTGCACACGTCACAAACAGAGTTGCTTGAGGTATGTTAAAGCACATTTGGACAAGCCATCTTCATTTTGGAATAAGGTGCTGTGGACTGATGAAACTAAAATTGAGTTATTTGGACAAAACAATGGGCAGTATGCATGGCGGAAGAAGAACACAGCATTCCAAGACAAACACTTGCTACCCACAGTAAAATTTGGTGGTGGTTCCATCATGCTGTGGGGCTGTGTGGCCAGTGCAGGTACTGGCAATCTTGTTAAAGCTGAAGGTCGCATGGATTCCAGTCAGCATCAGCAGATTCTTGCGAACAATGTTCAAGAATCAGTGACAAAGTTGAAGTTGCGCTGGGGCTGGATACTTCAACAAGACAACGACCCTAAACACTGCTCAAATTCTACCCAGGCATTCATGCAGAGGAACAAGTACAATGTTCTGTAGTGGCCATCTCAGTCCCCACACCTGAATATTATTGAAAATCTGTGGTGATTTAAAGCAGGCTGTCCATGCTCGGAAACCATCAAACCTGACTGAACTGGAGATGTTTTGTAAAGAAGAATGGTCAAAAATACCTTCAACCAGAATCCAGACCCTCATTGGAAGCTATAGGAAGCGTTTAGAGGCTGTTATTTCTGCAAAAGGAGGATCGACTAAATATTGATGTAATTTTTCTGTTGGGGTGCCCAAATTTATGCACCTGCCTACTTTTGTTTAAGTAATTATTGCACACTTTCTGTAAATCCTATAAACTTCATTTCACTTCTCAAATATCACTGTGTTTGTCTGCTATATGATATATTTAACTGAAATTGCTGATACGAACAACCAATGATTTATAAAGGAAAATCTTGAAAATAATCAGGGGTGCCCAAACTTTTTCATACAACTGTATTGGCTGATTTATCAATATCAGAATTTCTCACGCTCTAAAATCAAAAATCCAGTGTTGGTTGGTCATCAATATGTAGATTTAATTGTTAGTGTCTGTATTTTAGCTATTAGCTTCTTCTTTTTTGCAATATTATTGCAGTAAGTTATTGAGTGGGATCACTACTTTTACGTAGGTCAAAGATCTGGCTACATGTTACTTGTATAAGTTAGAAAAACTCAAAAACAAATCTTTTACTAGTTTTATTTTATTCATTTTTAATATAAAAGCATACTCAGACCAAAAAAATAATTAGATAATTTTGTAAAGAGCAACACACAAATACCACACACCATCAGAGGAAGCAGACTCAAACACTAGGCATAAGAAGCCTTTTGTGCAGAAGAAATTTCATCGGTGAGAAAACAAAACCCTCAGACAATCATCATTTTCAGGCGTCACACAGAGACAATATTGCAATATGACTGGGAGCAGTGAAATGCATTATATTTGGGGATAGATATTACACTTTTTCTTCTCACAACACTGTTTATAAAATGGTTTAAGCTCCTTGTAACTTCATTATATATTGTGATGCATATCATATGCAAATTAAATGAATATTTCAACTTTGTCTGTATTTGTCATTTAAGTAAACATTTATTCTCCACACCTGCTTTGCATTTCAGACATTCAGATTGCAAAGTAAATGCAAATGTACATTTGCAAATTATGTATGAATGAATAGGCTACACTTAAATCTCAGTTTTATATTATTACATCACGTTTTTCCCCCACTTCTGATGATATCATCTAATAACGTAAAATAACATCTCATGCACTTTTAACAGATCAACTATTAGAGAGAAATGTTGCACTAAACTCTAACAAAGTCAATGATGTCTCCAACTAAATAAGGAAGCATCATGTTAAAAGCAACAGAGTATCTCTGGAGACACATAGTTTCATCACTCTCTGGGAGTTTATTCTTTCCATAAACTATTAAGATACCCAAACAACAGACTTGTTGAGGTTTCAACAGCTTCAGAACAGGTTCCACAGGTAGCCATCTTTGTAATTTTGGACCACAGAAAATTATATGTATAAAAAAAAAAAATT